GAAATGAGAATTGCATAAAATATAATTTATAAAATTACAAGTATCATTAATAAAATATGATGGTCCATTTTTTATTGTCTGGTTACCCTATCAAATATCTTGACAACCTTAGATTTGATGGCAACTCTTAGTTTGAAGTACCAAAGGTCAAAACAAACTAATGTATTGACATAAGTAAACTGCATACAGTGAATGAGAGTACAAATATTCAAACATGGGGATGCCTCAAGGGTCAATTGTTGGTTATATATGGTTCAAATAAAATAATAAAAAAAATGCTGAAAGTCTAAAGATTTAAAATCAGTAATATGTATAGTACGAAAATAATAGTATGTTTCCACAAACGACAACAAATTAATAACTTTAAATTAATCATTCATTATATTATATACTACAGTAACAAAATCTAATTTTTTTTATCGGGTTTCAAATACAGAAGACAAACAAATAAACACGGGTGGAATTAAAATTCATTAAAATCTATAAATCATGGAAAAAATGAATTTGAACATGCCCATAGAAAACCCCTTAAGGAAATAGGTACGCTCAGACGATACTAAATATTTTCTACAAAGCGTTAAAAATATTGTAGAATTGACATGCTGTAAAATAGTGGAAATTGTGGTCAAAACTTCCTAAAAAGCGCATATAGTTAAAAAAAAAAAAAAAAAATAGGACAACCTGAACCAAATACATCTTAAATGGCCTCACAAGAAATGAGAATTGCATAAAATATAATTTATAAAATTACAAGTATCATTAATAAAATATGACATAGTCACTATAGGGAGCAGCTTTGTTAATAAGAAAACAACTTATTTCAAATGCCATTAGATATAATGATGTATTAATAATTCTATGGGGAAAGTATGTAATTTCCATAAAAATGAAAAACAGTGAATCTGTCCACAACCAAAATTACATTCATAAGAGATCTAGGACGTGACTTGCAAAAAATAAATTACAATTGTCAAACAGTAAATGATAAAAAAATATTGATCTATGTGGTACGTTTTTTTTGTTTCACTTTACCATTTTTTTTTGTTTCACTTTACCATGAGTTACAAAAAGCATGCTTTTAGTGGGGTAAATATTTCAAGTCGGCAGTTTAGCCCGACTCCAGGCCGACTAAAAAAATTGGCCTCGGAGGTATAATTTTAATCATGGGTTCGCATGATTTAATCGTAGTGCTAGTCGAAGTTCGTTTTTATTAATATGAAATGATGCAATTTTGAAGTTTTAGCTCAAACTGCGACTTAAGTCCGTTTTTAAGATTAACGGGGTATAGTATTTCAGAATTCAGAAACAATTCGATGAAGAGATGAATGATGAACTGCTGAAAACTTCAGAAGAATATGAATACTCATTCATGATTTAAAGCATTTTATGTCCTTGTATTTGTCTGATTTTTTGTTTCATGTCTTTGACTCATATTAATATTGTATGATGTATAAAGGGCGGATTTTGTTTGTGCATTATTGCCATTTTCCTATCCAGGCAACTACTTCTATTTTTCTTTCTGTAAGTAAAACAATAATAACACATACAAAAGTACAGAATAACACACAACTAAAATGCAATTTTAAAAAGTTGTGGCTGATTGTCCCACCTGGTCTCACAGGATACAGCCAACATACGGTCAACTATACAGACTTCAACTGTCTTACCCTCACGTGCAGGGTTAACAAACTTTTAAACAATGACGATGATGATGTTTCAACTACAAAAATGTTCTCTGAAACTGAAAACATATCTCCAGATACCTTTGACATTTTCTGATAGTGTTATAATCAATATCTGTAATAGATCTTGAATAATTAGATTTACCACTTACTCTAAATATCTTTATAGATTTTACCTCCATCATCTTGAAACACAACACCTGAGGGAATGATTCACTATTGATCTGATTTACATCATTTTGTAAATTGATGATTTTCTCACAAACAAAAATTGAAATACATACTTAGCACAATCAATTATTTTTTTTGCTAATAATAGGATTGGTATAGAAAGCCACCTTAGGTATGCTTGATCCAGAGTACATTGACAGATATCTGATGACCCCTAACAACTCACTAGTATTTCATAATAGTAAAGGTTGACAAGAATATAAAAGCTCAACTCACAAATAATAGAACTATTTTTCTAGTATTATAACAACATAGTAAAGGCAGTCAATTGATAACATCACACACATAATAGATCATAGAATAAAAGTGGTCATAACAGTGAACTAAAAAGACTTGCTTTTTTTCAACTTTTCTACAAACATTATATATATTTTAAAGAACTAACATTAAAAGGCCAATCATCTGATGTACTTCAGAGATTCTCTATATCATGCAAGCTCTCTTGCAATAATAGAAAGTTATAAAAGAATTAAGAGCTGACATATGCCAGTTAAGCTTAGTTTCTATACTAGAAATTGCAAATTGCAAGTGAAGTGCTGCGAAGTACAACT